CAACAAAAAAAACAAAAACCAACAACAACAGCAACAGCAACAGCAACAGCAACAGCAACAGCAACAGCAACAACAACAACAATATAAAAACGTTCCGATATCGTACCAATCAGGGCCGCTTTGACCCGACCGCCGATGTAGTCCTGTGCTTCCAGAAGTGTGACATCAGGGATTCCATTGTAGACAAGCTTGAGAGCGGCACTGACTCCTGCAATACCGGCACCTATCACCACAACTTTGCTGTCATTCTGCGTCGCCATGGGAAAGAACTAGCGGTTTGACGTCAAGTCCTGTCTCAAAGTGGAAAAAACTAGCGGTTTGACGTCAAGTCCTGTCTCAAAGTGGAAAAAAACTAGCGGTTTGACGTCAAGTCCTGTCTCAAAGTGGAAAAAACTAGCGGTTTGACGTCAAGTCCTGTCTCAAAGTGGAAAAAACTAGCGGTTTGACGTCAAGTCCTGTCTCAAAGTGGAAAAAAATGTTATTAGGTATCAAACTGACGTTCAATAAGGTAACAAACACAAAAGACCTTACAGCACTTTTTCAGTTCTGCCCCAGATCCTATTATCCGTTTAAATAACCCTTGGATGATTGTTAGAATAAGTCTAAACTTTGCTAACGAGTTGACGTTATTTGAATAATAACTGTGGTTTCGTTGAAAAATAAGCGAAGGAGTCGAGGATGCGTATTCAAAGCTTATTTCTTTTAAACTGGCGTAACTGTCCTGTTGTTGTCTTTAATTATATTTGTTCCAACGGTATCTTCCGAAAAGATGAGACTTTATAAATCCACACTACTGGCACCGTTGGGCACGCTGCGTCCACGGCTGCTTGGCGTGTCTATTTCGTTGACTGAGATAATTGTCAGGCGACTACTTCGCGGTATGGTACGGTCGGGGCTACCCGTTTTTATCAGATCCGGGTCCGGTCCATTCGCTGTTTTCGCGCCTGTTTCGATATCTTATGTCCGTCTTTAATGTCTGTCATGGTGGAAGGAAGCACAATAAGAAATAAAAGTCTTACTCTGACGAGAGAATGTGGAAAAGTTGTACATCTTTATAGTTGTCTCACATAGTCGGTAAAGACTATCAAAATCCTGTTTAGGATTTCTTTTTGAGGTGAATTCTAGGGTTAACGTCTACTTCAGCTCTCTATTCGGGATTTACCTTACCTTCTTCGCACATCGGGGTCTCCACGCCCTATGATGCCAAAGTAGGGTTACCCGAGACGTCATGTCCGGAAGACAATTCAAACTTATTTTCAGAATATGGACTGAGGAGGGAGGGAGAGGGTGGCTGAAGCAGATCCTTTACCGATTCTTGTTTATGAAGTGTGAACATATCTCTAAATGGTTTGATAATGAGTGATTCGACTGAGCTTTGTATGACTGGTATTATGCATACTGGTTTACTAACTATTAGTTATTCTGTCACCGGGTTTTATGCACCCCGCATAATTTAGCAAAATTTGATAATTTTTTGTATAACTTCTGATTACTTTCCTTTATCATTCTTTGTTAAACTTAACAGAATCGCATAATTTCACACTTTTGGGCTCCGTTTCCATAATTTAAGG